TCTGATCTCACATTCGACTTCTGCGCATTAGGTTGGGTCCAGTGGACGATTTCGAGAGAATGTCAATCAATGGCCGGTAGCAAACTTGGTAAATCTGACTAATTAAATTGCTTCTCCAACCTATCGGCCTAACACTACAAACGCTTCGACAAGCTACGGATCGACTGTTTACGCTTGTAGCGCATGGTCTCGCAGTTTCCAGGTTTCCTGCTTCACTTTTCCTGTATCAGACGGTTACCAAGTGCAGCGGCTGTCTCCACCTCCGAGGCACCATGAGACCACCACGCTTCTTGATCTCTCTTTGAGCCTAACACCCAGTTTCGTCTTGGGATCTTTATGAGTCTCATTGTGTTTGCTGCCAGCCGGAATCTGTCGGTGAGCATCCAAAAGTTCCAGAGACTGCGTAGAGTCCCTATGTCCTGGTTTGCGGCTTGATTTGCCGCATGAACACATGCCTCCTGCTCATTACATCTGAGAAATATGCAACCAGTGATCTTCAGCTGTGTCCGATTGATCCTTACTTAGCTCCTATGCCAGCGTACTTCGATACACATACAGAGCATCTGACTTCGCTAGTAGGCTAGTGACAATGCGCTCACAGCTTCGTTGCCTACGTCCGTCGAAATGCGTCCGCAGGCCGATGCATGCAACTGCTTAGTCAGTCTCCACGCGCGTGTTCCAAATTGAGCGGCAGTTTTGTTGAGGTCACTACTTCCCTATGTTGAGACTATTGGTGCACCTTCGCGCACCAAGCAGCATACGCAAACACGGGTACAAACTAGTTGTGCCTGATTTAAAGCGGATCGTTCACTCTCTGTGCTTCGAGCGTCGAGTGGTGAAATATTGGAACAGGTTGTTGGAGACGTTAGTCGAGGCGAAATTGGCATCGGAATTTAAGAGATTCCTTGACGCTTTGCGGACTACAGATATAGGGAGTATATCGCACCCGGATAACATGCAGTACAGTTACGACATGCTGCTACCGCGCAGGAATCGGCGACGTGATTTCGCGCATGTGCCCGATCCACCTACGATGGGGCAAGACAGATTTTTCAAAGCTGTATTTAGGGAGCACGCTGTGTGGTTGGGTTGCGGCTCGCAACCTCTATGGAGACCTCGGCTCACTTTGAGTTAAATCTCGGTCATTCCGATCTCGAGGACCCTATCCTGAATGGAAATATTTGGGTGTTGTTCTTCCCAACACTGGCACACCACGACCGCAGATTTTTCTTTTCGCTCTCTATTTTCAGTATTCAGCATTCTCTCCAACGGTAACTGATTGCGATGTGGCCGCTTTGCGTCCATGGCAGGTTTGGGGTGCATGGGCCCTATGTCACTGTGCCCCGAGTGCTGTGTCCGAAGTTAGTGTTCGCTAGAATGGGACGAGCATCTTCACACAGGTGTACCGATCGCTCACCGTCATCATCACGCCGACCTACACCGTGTTGGCTTTGCAGATGGAGCTGCTCATCAGTGGACAGTTTTCCAACTTGAGTGTTCAGAACACCAGGAAGCACCACAGTATCCATACTTTTTCTGACTGGTGAGCGCATTCAAATAATGATACAAGTCGTCTTTCACTGAGTCGGCGCTCCAGTTTGTGGGCGCCTTGGCTGCGTTGACAGTCGTATACCATTTATCTCCGCACGACGGCGCACATCGGGATCCAGTCGATCAGGACAGATTCAGCCCGCAGGTCAAGCGCAATGCCAACACCGACTTGACCGTCATTTGGGGCTTCATCGTATCCAGACAAGCGCAGTGAAGAAGTATTCCCCTATTATCATATAAAGGCAGGCGCAGGGTGAGCACCGTTAGATCCTTACAGACGATGTAGCTTGGGAGCTACTGCGACGAAAGCATTAACGTTACAATTTTACCATTTCTACTCATTAGTAAGAGTTTTTCATTAAACCGCAAATATCGATCCGTATGGTCACTAGTGTTCGGGTAAGTGCTGCCTGTTATCCAATCTGCGGTAAAGTGAGCATATTGAGGCATGCTAATGTTAGCGATGATCGATGGCTCCAAATGGGAACATGAACTGACGTCCGTTCTGCCTTACGTGGACTTGTCTTTTGGACGAGAGCGTACTCCTTCGATTGCGTGTGAGCGGAAATTACAAGACAAACACCTGTTTTCGAATGCGGAATATTGTGGTAGGTTGAAAACAGCAGGATGAACGCGAAGTCGAAAGTGCTCGATAAGGATGAAAAAGCGCAGTAGTGGAGATCAAAAGAATGGAAGGTCTGAGAAGTGATATCCTCGTACCTATCCACCCTGCTCGATACTGCTGATTGGACGCGGTTGATTATTCTCTGCGACGACCAGGGCATTAATATTGTGTTTGATGAAGATTCATTGTATCGCGTGAGAATGATACTGTCAGGTTGCCCAGGCTTAGACAGGAGAATGATTAGGGTTCTCAACCAAAGCCTTTTGTTTAGAAGCCTGACTGCAAGCTTGCAGAGTTTTGACATTGACTACAAAGAGTCCGTTTTATATAGTAAGGAGCCACCCACATTCCAACACTCAAACTGGAGGGTCAGAGTTTGTCTGGCCTCTAACCATTGACCACTCTGGTGTGAGTTGCTCTGAACGTGCGAAAAGCACCAACCAGCATAGCTTATTGTATCACTGAGACACACGAACCATCGCACTACTTTAATGCCCCATGTCGCTATGGCTATCTTCGTGTCCTGTTCGTTTTCATTGTTTATCCCTGTCCGGGACGTTTGTTAGAGCTGAATATTTTCCATTCACAGGTGCATAACCTACATTCTTGACTTGACTGTAACAGCTATAGAGAGCGAGCACTGAGCCAAGCTTTTTACTGGCGTCAAGCTAGGCCGCAGCTTCATTGTCCGGAGAGGATATTTGCCTCCTGCATACAAGTTCAATGTAGCTAAATGTTTTTTGCATTGGATTGCAACTGTGTGTGTCCGACAGTGAGACTGATAGCTCGACTGGGCCGTGGAATCAGCTAATCTGTTCACCTCAATCTTGTGATGCCTCATTTTTTGAGATCCCCCAAAAGCATACAGATTTTCGCGCAAACCAGCGCATGATCTGAGTAAATGAACATAGACCATAAGAAACCGCGATCCCATACGATGTCCCGTCGTCAGAAGCCGACTGCTATGTGATCTCTTTGAGGTCATGCTTATGTTGGCGAGCGGGACGCCAAATTGCGGAATATTTTTTCGTATGCCTGAAGTTGGTGCACGAGAGAAACTCATCAAGCGTGTGGTGATCCCTAAGGTGACGTACGTTTGGTAACAGATGACCAACCCGTGCGTTAAAATCTCCTGCGAGGCCAACGGCATCTGATTTCTTAACGTTCGTTAGCAGGCAATGAAGCTCCCAATAAAAATCGTCCTTGATCGAGCCACTACTGCAGTCACTTGGAGCGTATGCGGGGATCACAAGTCAGCTGTGTCTCTTCGTAAAGTCCGTTGATTCTACATGAATCCAGGAGCCGAACTGCACACATTGGTCTGTTTATCAGGAACCAATCAACCAGCACGGCCTCGATCCTGCCACTTGGTACTATACCTATACGAGCCAAACCCGCTGAGACTGCTTCTGAGTCTGTATAAATATGCAGTTGATATCTGGCTTCGTGGTTAGTTGGGTATGTCTGCGTAAGCACAGTTCTGGTGTTCTGCAATCGCGTTTCAGAAAGGCAGCGGACATCAACATCGAGGGACTCTAGGATGCGTTGCTAGACCGTCTTGTTGTCCAATCTGCATGAGTATCCGTTCATTGAAGCCTACCAGACCGAACGAGGTTAGGGGTCGAAATAGTCAAAATTGAACTCCATGATTCGCTGTGCAATCGGAATCGCAGCTGAATCCGTGAACACAGGTATCAGTTAACGGATGATATGGTTTATTATGATATAAGTGGTTGCCGTGTAATAAAGTTGCATGAGTGCAGAAAAGAGATGGCAGCAGGTGAGGACGGCGTAGAACAGTCGATGGCATTTTGTCATAGGACGTGATACTACTCGGTTGCCTAAGCCGAAGTAAAATAATATTAATGCTAATGCTAATAAAAATCTAGTCACAAACACGAATGATTCTCATTTGCGAAAGAGCTGACATAATACATTAAAGCCGCTAGATGGAATTATTTAGTGTCTGAATCAAGAGATCCAATTTTATCTCATCATTCTTTCAGTGACCGCAACCTATCTGATTGGGCTTCTGCGCATTGCCTCGATACTATGTATTGCAATCGTTTTGCTGACTCAGGCTATCTCCCCATTGAACCGACTTTACACGGCTCGTACTGCACCCAGTTAATTGTTTTTCATCTCAAGTTCATGTCTTACCGTGTTGCGAACACGCGTGTGCATCTTTCTCGATTGCTATCCATCCTGCACACCCCATGTTTAGGTAACCATGACATTTCTCACGGCAGTATCCGTGGATGTACTCTCCGCTTGTTGCGGGTATTTCTCTACTCTTAGCCACATTAGATCCAACTTGACTCCTGTTACTTCCCGGTTCCTGACTCGTGAGTAAAACTTGTTGCTCCGCTTTGTCCTCTTCCGTCTGACCTTATAGCGGGTGTATCTTGCTGGACCTTATGCTTCCACACTTAAGCGTGGTGTTTATGAATTGATTTCTCTGGAAAGCAACAAATTATAACCGGAATCGGATAATCCTCCTTTTACTGGGGTTTGTTTGGATCGTTTGCACTTTACTTTGTTCGATGCTGATCTTGAGGATGGTCACTTACTTGACGCTGGAGCCTACTTATCTACCTTACGTCTGTGGTAGTCACAGATGTTACGCACCCGGTAATGAGATCCTCGTCTACCCTACTGGTTTCCATTGCTCCACCACTCAGGTGGCATGCACACCCTGGCGAACTAGGTCACAACTTGGTGCAAACGTTTTCCTGTACTTTGTTCACATTTTTCGTCTCTTTGCTGCAGTATTTTTGCGATGCGGCAGATTATGTACTCCAAGCTGCTCTAAACTTGTCCTCAGGTGGAAACATTTGGAAGCTGCATTTAGCTTATGCGGAGGTCTTCCGTCCTACTTTCAACAGGATGACCCTGTCAATTCGAACGATGGGAACTCTTCCAATCAGCTGAGTACACTCTATGCTCGCTATTTAATTCCCAGTTTGGAACAATCAGGTGAGGTGCTATTGAAAGTGGTTACTCCAGTACTGCTCCATCTTTAACACACGTGCTATTAGTCAAATACTTTTCCGCTGGACCAGCCTGTTTTCGGTTGTTATTTTTTATGGTCATCTCATATTTTGTGCCACCACTTTTCAGCCCATCATAAACATCAAACTGAGCTACCTGCTTCATCGTTGCCTTCTTTATCCTATTGTCATCAGTATTTTTCTACTCCTGTACAACTGGTTTCAAAAATCCGCAAGCGTGTAATGGCAGTTTCCTATCGAGGTTTGTTACTTACCGTTCCATGTACGTGCACTCTTGTCCGGTGATCTGCTACATAGAGGTCCAGTAAACCGTATCAAGTTTCCTGCCAACTTTTTACAACTTCATTTATTTCTTATTCTTTTCTGATCGACTTCCGTTGTTGTCCAGTAGCTTTTTCGGTACAGTAACGTGCCTATTTCTCTACTTACAAATTGTCTTTTTAACATCATTTCATCTACTTACCACCAGCACCTTAGTTAGCGAGCGACTTTTAAATGAGATGTTTAGTCCTTGGCGAATTGCAGTTGGATTGTTCAGTCGGATGGGTTTTCTTCTTACACTGAGCTATTTAGTGTTTAAGCCTGACATTCCTCTCCATACCGGGCTTCACTTAGGATACGCATTGATTACTTGGCCCCATCGTGCTTGTCTGTCGAATCGAGGTTGACGATTTGGCATTAGGTTTTTAGACAAAATCGCGTCGTTGCGTCCGATGTTCTGACTTTCGGACATCGGTGGAGGCTGTGCTCGACCTGGACTCACTTATTCCATACGTGCCCTGCTCTTCTAGTTTCCCTTGTTAATCATCCGTTTCAAACCGCTACTTGTGCTTGTTTCTTCCCACTCTTCCGGCGTCATTCGCACTGTTTAGATCCAGTCTTGTCTTTTTGTCCTCACTACCGGCTACTAGCTATATGTACTCAGTTTTTTACACTATCCGTAAGCTTATTCAGCATGAGAGCACAGGTGCCACTACGATACACAGTGCCAATCTCCCCAGCATTACTTCATGTGTACCTGTAGATGAGCCTATCCGTGTATCCTCACCACGGAGTCCCGTCGTAATCTCGGCTGTTCCTTATCTTTGACTTATCCGCCGGGCGACCAAAATGTATTCTAGTGACCTGATGTTCCTCGGAGCGAATAACTAATAGTCATCCATCAGATATGTTCCGAAATGGCGAGTATGGTGGCTATCGATGAAAGTAAGCACTTACTCTGCCTTCATGATTGTTTTGTTTATCTTTCGAAGCTTGACATAACAAAATCCAATGTAGAATTTGATGTTGTTCGGGACATTGTTTTCACACATCGGTTCTGCTACTCTGAACTAAAGCACACAACATGTTTTTCCCGCCTCATTGTCTCTGATTAATCTCGATGACTTGGCATATGTTGGTCTATCCGCTCTTTTCGACACATTGATATCGCGATGATGTGTCGTCAAACTGACAGTGACCAAATTTATATTCTTTTTTATGTACCAGTGTCTTTTGTTACCAATTTGCCAATTGAGGGTTTCATCACAGTTAACTATAGTTGACACATGCACCTCATTTGAGCGGTTGACTTGTCTTCAATGGTCGAATCAGTGAAATCCCTGCTGGTTGCTATCATGTATTCCTGGGCGAATCCGAATAAAGCTTGGTCGGTTAACGATCAAAGGTTTATTATTTGCCGACAAAACAGTTGATTATGCTGCAAATAAATCGAAATCGCCGCTTCATCGTTGCGAACATTCAGTAGCTTGTTCAGCCTTCCGCCGTGGTCCGTTTTCTTTGGTCCACACCCGCTGCCAGTCTATCTCTTTCAGAACAACGGTGAACCGCGCCCCTCTTTAGGCCCAACCGGTTTTGAATTGCTTTTCCAACTCATGTACTTGAATACCCGACAACGGTACTCAACCGAGGTATCGTGCAATGAGCGATTATCACAGTTTATTCTCCAGTGGAGAGCGCACTAAACACGATCGCGCCCGAACATGTCCTCAGACTGCGTCATCTTTAATCACGCTGCCATTCAAGTTCAACTGGGATTGAAAACTCTTATTCATTTAGCTTGGTCTGCTTGTGGTTCGTCCTATGTTTGGATGAGTTACCTGCAAAGTTTCTTATCACCTGAAATCTTCATATTACGGTTTCTCTGGAATCCTATGGTAAACTGTCTTCTAGACTCGTTATGACAATGAGTTTCGTCAGGACCATCTTGTTCCTCCTTGTGATCAAACTGTTCAGGTGTCGCTGTACTTATTGCCGCTGGATTTTGACGAATTGTTAATGTTACGGACTTGGACTACGTACATGATATAGCTCCATTTAGGTCGAATCCAACCCATTTGATATCGCTCCTGGATTTATTTACATCCGACGTTCACGTTTCGGCCCTTGCTTCATACACAATGGACTATAGTGGGATTGTGTTGGATCGATTCCGCACTTATGGGGCATTCCTTGCACATGTCTAGTTGGTTCCTCCAAGGGGCAGCTTTGCGATCCCTTGTGGTCAGTTAAAAAAACACTTAGCGCATTTGTTTGAGCACTCCCTTAAGCGGTCTACACCCACTGTTGGTGCTACTACACTGCCCAGATATCTGACCACTGTTCTCTCAAAACATCAAGAAGCTGCTCATGTTAACTACCGTGCTTCCTAAGCATTGTTCATGACTGAATACCATGGTCTTATCCAATTGATATTTAACTTCAACAATCTGTCCTCCACTGAACCACATGTGTAAATCTTAACAGTTTGCTTTAACTAGATCGCATGCTTCACCAAAGCACGGCTCACTCGCCTGGGTATGTGCGCTTATTTTGTGTGGAATCTCCGAGTTCCCGATCGTTGACATTTGCATGTCGGCTAATGACGCGGACCGACGCAGCAGGATTGATTCACAACCCCCCTCTAGATGGATGCATTTAAGTCGGCCACATATATGGTTTGAATCCTTATCCTATTTATCCTTTCCTTTCTATTTGTTGACCGTCTGTTGTCCCTTCAATCTATATCAGATCTGCGTTCCTTTTTGCCTCTTCGCTAATGGTGACATCTGTGTTCAGGTTGAACTGAAACCGCAACTCGAACCTAGCCAACAATGTGACAAATTTTATCTAGGAAATCTTTTGTGTCAAAGGCGAAGCGTCTACCAGAAAATACATTAGCCAGCTGTTCACAAGGCCTTTTGAGATTATGACTTTCCAGTCAGTTTCAAACGTATTCAATCTGTCGATTAAAATAAACTTGTTCGTAATACTATTTCACATTACGCTACTTACCTTGGCATCGTTGCTTAACCTGACTAGCCCGTCGAATATATTCATTTTTTGTACATCCACAAACATCCATGCACGCATTTTTCTTCCTCCACAGAATACCCTTTCCTACAAGTCGGCGCTCTTCATTGTGTGACACAGTTGTCGATGCACTTGAATTTTCCGTCGTGTGAATTTCAGCTCACTAGGTGAGCTACTTTTCCCTTGCTGCCCATTCCCCAGCTAGAGATATTTCGATCACAAGCTAGAGTTCTTTAGTGGAACTCATCCAATTCTCACACGGACTGTTTACTTGAGTGATTTAAGCCCTCCTTTTTGCGTATCCGTGAACAGCTCCATCATAGCACATTGTTTCATATTTCACTAGATGTAATCTTATTATCTGGGATTTTACCCATACCTCAATCGTTCTTCGTGTTTCAAGACACTCTTTGCGAGGAATATATATATATATATATATATATATATATATAATGATACAGTGAATTTATTAAGTGGCAACTCACCTGCCACGTCGCAGTCTTGTTAAACAGATAGTTGTGGCTTTTTATAAGGAGAACGCTTTTCAGGTGCAAATGTACCACGTTCTAAGACGCTGCCGTGTAATGCCGCGCTTAGAATCGAGTGTTATATCCTGGCGACACTAAACGAAATGGTCCCGGAGTTATACAAGGCCAAAATTTTATGAAAGTCGACCTCGCTTCAGTTTTCTGGCGTGTAGCACTTGAACAGTCCAGCTATCTGACAAAATTTTGAACACCTTTTGGGTGTTTTAGTTGGTTTGGAAGTATCTAGCGAGGTATTTCAGAAACGCATCCTTCAAGCATCGGACCATTTACCCGGAATGATTTGTCTGGCAGGTGACACGCTAGTTCTTAGTGCTACACCAAAGGAACACGAGCGTCATCTTCACAAATTTCTGCAATGCTGCAGTAAACGAAACATCAAACCGAAGCAAGAGAAACTCGAGCTACGCAAAAGGGAGGTGGGATTTCCCGGACATGTGCTGAATACGATGTGATTGAAACGGGATACGGAAAATCAGGGCCATTAACAAGATGCCCTCGTCCAGCGATGCGAAGGCTGTTGGCAGGTTGAACGGTATGGTCAATTATCTGTGCCGTTTCCTGCCACGATTGGGTGATGGGATGATACCGAGTCGAAAATCGAAGCTTGGCATAGGGGCCCCAAACAAACTAATGCCTTTCAGAAAATCAGGGAATTGATTACTTTTTTCCGCCTCTTGCCCTTGGGATTCATTGTGGCACTAGTCAATGCGACTTCGGATCTGTGCGCATGCAAAGCGGTGATCATACTGATTTTCGCAGTCGCACACCCACGGATGCCGAGCGTCGCTTCATACAAATTGAAATAGTAACGCTGCGCTGGTTTGCGCCGTAGAACGCTTCAACGACTTAATGTTCGACCGCAAAACAACTGTCTACGGTGACCGCAAGCCATTGCTATCCATCGCTAGCAATCCGCTCCACATCGTCTGCAGCAGATACTTATTCTTCTTCAGAAGTAAAATCTGCACATTGTCTATCACCCGGGATCCAGCATACACACCTCTACACTATGAAGAGCTTAGCTTCCAGTTGCAACCAGCATACAATAAGTCTCTGATTTGGTTAATTTAACGCAACTGATTTCTGTCGCGGATGAATGTATGCAACAACTGCTACGTTGCACGAAAGAAGACGAGTTATGCAAGCTTATGGAACAAACAATACTAAACAGGTGGCTTTAACCTAAACAAATGCTTCCAAGAGAACTAACGCTTTTCGATTCTGCGATCAAATCATCATCCAATAAAAAGTGACCTGTAAAGGAAACCGGATCTTTATCCTGAAAGCAATGCAGGATTCCGTGCTGTAGCTCATTAATGGCGCGCACCTGGAAATCAAAAGCTGTATGACAAGCGCACGAGAACTCATCATCCGATCAGGAATGACTTGTCAGCTATGCAATTACATATTAAACTGCTTAGCTTGCAGAGGGTATGGTATTTGCCAACCGACGTCCTGGAGATACAATGGTAGAAAGTCATTTTGATTATCTTTACCTACACAGGTAAGAATTCTGTGATTGTGGTAGATTACTTTGATGGCTACTTTGCGATTGATGCTCTTATTACTAAGCTGGCTAGCCGAACTACCTCCACGTGTTGCCTGCCGGGTGGTCCGGTTTAATCCTGTTCCAGCGAATGGTTCGGCAGCACTGTTCCAGGATGTGGTGGGTTTTCGCCTGTTAAGCGTTCTCCCTACAGAAGTCACAAATGTCTGTTTAACAACACTACGATGTGTGGATCTGACTCTCCACTAAATAAAGTCACTGCTTCCTGCCTTTCCGGGTGATCTTACCCCACTCACGGACATCAGCCAATTGGAAGATATTATTTGATTCCTTTCTGTGTTGGCGAATTCACCGCACACAGCCACAAACAGCACAACCATAACAAATTCACTCAACATGATTGCTCAACCACTTACATCTATACACAAAACATGACTCCAATATGTACTGATTACATAGCAACACTTGTGACAATTACTGATTATACGCTTTGTATTACTATGATCATACCTTTTTAGACGTGCCCCGCACTGCCGAGAATAAAACATTTATTTATTTATACTCAGTATACATTCCATCGTGAACAATTTACAGTGCCAATTCGATAAACATGGAATGCCTGAGGAAGTGGTCTCCGATAATGGACCGCACCATTCATCGCTTTGAGAAGTGGAATATCCTTCTCCGACTCACCAGTTCATACCATAGCCAGTCGCGTGAGGTTCCATACCGTATGTTACTGTTAAAAAGATACTGGCCATCTACCGAGTTCAGGACAAGTCCAGTTCAGCGTTTGTTCAGTCGCAGAACAATGATATTGCTGCCAGCAGCCAGCTTCTGTGCAACATGTGACACAATCGGCTTCTTTTCTACAAGACCGTCTAAGAACTCGAAGCTCTCAGCAAAAGCATTATTATTATCGTGGATCGAGACGCCTTCCTTCTCTTGCTTTGGGAAACCAATTGTGGGTCGGGGATGACACCATCCGAACTTATCGAGTGCATGAGTGTCAGCAGGACCAGACATTTGTAATTACAACACAAGGCCTGATGGTCATCCGCAGTGGTAAACCATACGGAGATCGTAACTAATAGAGTGGTAAGCGGGGCCAGTGTCCAGATACGAGGTCGCGCACAGGCTTACCGAGGAGCACGTGAGCTGCCTGCTGCATGCGAACCTCACCAGCACGAGCGTGGAACGACCTTCGACTGTTTTGTCAAATTTGGGAATCGGGTGCAAACTGATTGGCCAGAAAATACAAGCCCGAGTCAACGGAGGCGAACCATTCTGCCAAATATGGGAAATCCGTGCGACGGAATTAACTCACATTGGCTGAGAGCCAAACGCTTCCAAAATTAGGATGTTACGTTCACCAATAAATAGAACTGACCTATCGTGTAGAATAAGCTCCCTGTTTACCGAGCCTTGACCTTCTGTATCCCGTCGGTTGGTTGGGCGCGTGACTGAGCGATCCGGCGGTCGTATTCTTGCAGGCGCAGAATAGCAGCAGTGCAGCAGTACGAAGGCAGCTTTACAACAGTAACAACACCGGTCCAACAAAAACAGAGAAATGGTTTTCGTTAATAGTTGATTCTTTGAGCAAAGCCGACCAATTGGTGGTAGGCAACCGTTGTCGACGCGAATTGATCACGCATGAACGAGACGGACAGAGGAATCAGCCTCGGTTCAGCCTAAAGTGGACAAACCACAGCTGAGTCAGCAACAGAAATGAAGTAGATTGGCTGCAACAGGTGCGGACGAAGGAAACTTTGCGCTAGGCACAGGGACAAAAGAGAACTGATGTGTAGCAGCGAAACTCAGGGCGGACAAAGCAGGCGGGGTCGATTAAAGCGAGCGTAGGGTAAATAAATAAATAAAATTTTTATCTCCTACTATTCGTAATACTCCATCAGGTGTACGATCATGGACCAATGATCACAGACAAATCACGGAAGAGACAAATGGTTGAAAGTGACCAGTGTGAACTTCACCACCAAATGTCGCCCGTCAGGTGGGTGCAGTAGAAACGGTGCCTTGCTTTGAATCAACGGATCTTCATCTTTTGGCCAGACTTCTTTTGACTGTCGGAGGGATACATGACTATAGAGAAAAGAGACCACGCTACCGTTAGCGTCTCTCGCGTTTCTTCTGTCCCTCCTAATCCATTTTCTCGCCTAGTCCCTATTTCACCTGACCCACCCTACCTGCCACAATCCATCACTTCGCCGATTGCCCCGTGCAAAGCGTTCAACATCGGGTGCTGGAACGTGCACACATTACTGTGCTGGCGCTGCACTGGTCGCCATGTCACTCGGTCGCTAAAGCATTGATATTGCCACACTAAGTGAGACTCAGCTTGCTGACCAAGGCAACCTGTACGAGGTTAGTATTAGTTACACGTTCTACTGGATAAGAAACGCTACTACAGCGCTACATGAGAATGAAGTGGCCTTTGTACTATCCGAGCGCTAAATGGCCAGCTGGTTGCAGAGCTGATTGGAATCAGCCCAAGACTGATGCCACTTCGCCAGCGACTTAGAAGAGGTAAGTTTGCCACTTTTATTAATATGAGCGGTCCTACCATGCGTTATCCTGCTGACACAAGGGATCAGTTTTACGCTCAGTTATCCTCCGTGATACGGTCTGTGCCTAAGAGCGACCGGCTGTTCCTGCTGGTTGATTTCAAAGTACACATCGGGCTTGATGCTGCGGTGTGTACAGACATAATCGGGCAGAATGGTATTGGCCTAGCCTCTAGGAACGGGAACCGCCTGCTCTCACTCTCTCAAGCGAACTGATCCGACTGGTGCAGGTTGTGTTGCTAGTTGCACGTGCGTTTGGAGTTGTCACGCTTGTCTCCTCGATTATGTCATCATACGCCAGCGTGATATGCGTGAAGTATATAGTCACCGACTTGTGGTGGCACATCAGAGAACATGTGATTGTGGCGGCCGGGGAAGTGATAGGGTACGCAAACTGTAAACTGTCCGATTGGTTTTATGACAACAGTGTAACCATTTGTACACTGGTGTCCCAGAAGAATCCAGCCTTCTCTGCACACGAGGAGGACCATACTGACTCACAGAGGGAGAGTAACTTTCGTAAAATGCAT